CTCCCCCGGCACCGTTCCCTGAACCACTCCCTTCTCAGTCCCCCCCTGCAGCTGAGCCAAAACCACGCCCGCCACCACAGTGATTAAATGACAAAAAAGCACCAGAATAACAGAATGAATAAAATATGCATTTGTGTTTTATTTAACCAGGATATCTCCATCGAGAATGTCAAGTCCGGATAGAACCGGCAGCATAAAGTTTCCCAATTGAGCCTGTTCTACATCTTCATGTAGCGGGGGGGGGGGTTTATTTAATGATGAAATTAAAAAGGACGACATGATGAAAAACCTTCTGAAACGAGTTTAACGATGACGACGACGGATCGTATCTCTCATCAGGAGTCCTTCTTCGGCGTGGCGGCGGAGGACGTGGCGGCCAATCAGGAGGCTCAGGACGGCATCCGTCAATTGATGGCCTTCCTCTGTCCAGCAGGGGGCAGCACAGGTACACCTGGACCAGGAGCTTAATGTGTTCAGATGAACTCACTATATTTAGTACAATTGCTGCTTAAACGTGTATTTAAACATAAATTGTGACCCGTGTGTCTCAGCCCAGCGGCCCTGGATGGATTTGTGTCTGACGGCGTACCAAGGGGAGGACGATGAAGGCCGGCCTCAAACCTGCTACCAGATCCACCACAGCACCGTCACCAGACCCGCCTCCACCCATTCCAACCCCGCCTGAACCGCACGCAGGTCAAAGGTTACCAAAGAAAGAAAAACTGTTTCTAAACATTTACGTACGGGATTTTCTTTCCTTTTATTTCACGTGTTTTGTGATTTTTTTTGTATTTATTGTCAAGAACTAAATAAATGTATGTGAAATGTTTTAAACTGCAGATTGACATGTTTCAATAAAGTCGTTCAATTTTAATCACAAACTCTCAACTCGTCTGTGAGGCGACGGCTCCATCTGGTGACCACACAAAGCACTTTATTATAATATACAATATTCAGTAAAATAATAATATCCAAATGCAGCAGATACAAAGGAGCTGTCCTCAGTGCACCTGTTTACATATTCCTATACATACTGTATATGTATATGTCCTTCCTTTAAAGGGACCCTGTCCCGTTTGTTGTGCACAGATTATGTTGAGCCTTTTTATTTTTTACTGAAATGATTAATTGTTCTTCTCGGTGTGTCTACTTTGTTTTCTCCAGAGTAGCAACGCCTTCAGATCCTCTACTGCAGTAAAAGTACTAATACCACTACAAATAAAAGTACCACACTCAACGTTGGATACTATTAGAAGTACCTGAAGTACAAATGCTGGTCGTGCAGTAAAATGTTGTATCGTACCTGATGTTCTGGATATTACAGCTGCATTAATGTGTGTGTTGCATTTCAAATCCTTTATGTCCTGTGAGTGAGTTTAATCTACATCAATGCATCAATATTCACCTTTGAGATGAAAAGTACAACATGTACCTCTGAGCTGTAGACAGTAACAGTTTTACAACAGTAAAATGAACAATATATGAAAATGATTAACCTGGCTATTCTGCTTAAAGTACCTGGATTGATGTACTTGGTACTCCGATGTTCAGGAGATGAGGTGTGGATCTCTTAGTTGTTTCGTAGTTAAAACGTCCCCGTGACGTCACACAGGAGCGTACTGATGTCACACCCGGATCCTCCACTAGGTGGCGCCCGAGCCCCGGCTCTACTTAACCTCTAACATTTCGTTACTGGAACTTTTACTGCATTTCTGCAGAATTTGCGGAGGCATCCTGGAAAAATTGATGATTCATTTAAATTTTGTAAAATAACACAGGTGTTGTTGCTTAGTTGAACAAGCAAAGTTCTTTCTTCTTGAGAGGTTTTTAAAATGTGATTTTCACTTTTTCTGAAGCTTATGTCATTCATTATTTCGTTTTTCTTTAATGAAAACCTAAATTAAGAAGTTTGAGTCACTTTTATTTTTTGAATGACGGAAAGTTAGTATATTTTTTATGTAACAAACCATTTTATTTCACTTTAATCCACACCGATTACAGTTCAGGGTGTTATTCAAACAGATTAATCCTCCTTCTAACTCCTCCTATTGGAACTTCTCTCTCTCAGTCGTAGCCCCCCCCCCCCCCCCCTAGATAAGGACGTGACGGCGATCCCCACTGGATGAAGCTTTACCAACCTTAGCCACTTATCCAACCAGAAAAACGAATTAATGCCACTTAGTCATCGGTCAGACTTACCCCCGGGCTTCTCTAGGGCCAAAGACGAAAGAAAGCAATTCCGAGGGAATCTGGTGGACCGCACGTTAGTTTTCTCAAAAACTTTCTGAACA